AGCAACTTGTCTGTTCCCCTTTCCCCAATTCCCCAATGCTGTTCCCATCCCCCAATTTAAAAAAAAAACACCAAAACTTAAAAAAAAAATTTTTCAAAATGAAAAGCTGGAGAAAATTTGAATTTTTTTTAAAAAAGGTCTTTAACAGGCCTACTTTGTGAGCACATGTAAATAACCCATGGATTATTAAAAACTAAGCTGGCAGAACCTGTCAGTATGATTGAAGCCCATAAAATGGTAATAATAGTATAAAAACAAAAACAAACCTGGCCTATAAAGTGAATGGAGACAAATATGAAGTAATGGGAATTTGGGGCATTATGCTAATTACATCCAAAGTAAGCTTTAAGTTTTAAAATTCTAGAATTCATAGCAATACTTCTGAAACAGACATAAAATGAAACATGGGCTCACTCACCTGTCATTTTCTGTAATCCTATCAGTCAGCCAAGAAATATTACTCTACCTTTGCTATACTGTTTGAATATATGTATTAGAAAAAGCAATTAGTATCATAAATTTTAACTATTGTAATTACTATTCAAGCAGAATAAAATAAAATAGAACATAATAAAACTTTAGCCTAAAGGAGAAAACTTAAACCCTCAATAATTAAGAAAACTTAAACCCTCAAGAAATCATGCCTGTATATGCATTGTCTTTTAAAAGAGCAAACACATAAACAAAGATATTCACTTAAAAATACACAAGTGAAGTTTGACTTAGCACATGTAACTAATCCTCTCAAATATTCTACATTTATAGTACAATTTACCAAGAGTATATTTTCAGATGATTACCCCCAAACATTTTAACATTATTTTAAATCTTCAGTGAGATCTACTTTAATAAAGGTGGAAGTAGGCCCGGCCGAGCGGTGCGTTGGTTAAGAGTTGGCTTGGGACACCAGCTCTGAGCAACAGGGCCCCGGTTCAAATGCCACATTAGGGCCAGTGATGCTGCGCCCTCTATAATTAAAATGGCGAACAACAGCTCGACCTGGAGCTGGGCTGCCATGAGTTTCCAGAGACAGCATAGGCTGCAGTGGAGCTGCAGTGGGCTCCCATAAGCTACCATGAGCAGCCGGCAGCTGACATGAGCTGCCAAGAGCCACCACGAGCGGCCGTCCAATGGCCAGCAACCAACTGCCTCACCCGGGAACAGCGCAATGATAACACCAACATGGGCCAGTGAAGCGATGTCCTCCACAACTAGACTGAAGAACAAAAGGATAGCAATTTGTCTGTTCCCTCCTCCAATTCCCCAATAAAATCTTTAAAAAAAAAAAAAAAGAGTTGGCTTGGGAGCGCGAGCTCTGAGCAGCAGGTTCGCTGGTTCAGTTCCCACATGGGCCAGTGACTCTGCGCCCTCTATAGCTAAGATTGTGAACAACATGGAGCTGGGCTACTGTGAATGGCCGGCGAGGGCATAGGCTGCCGTGAGCTACCGTGAGTATCCAACAGCCAGTGTGAGTGGCTGGCGGCTGGCAGCCGCCCGTGAGCTGCAGTGAGCAGCCCTCCAATGGCCGGTGACCGACTACCTCAGCTGGGAAGAGTGCAATGATCATAATACCAACATGGGCCGGTAAAGCGGTGTTCTCTACAACTAGACTGAAGAACAAAAGGATAGCAACTTGTCTGTTCCCCTTCCCTGATTCCCCAACACTGTTCTCTTCCCCCAATTCCCCAATAAAATCTTAAAAAAAAAAAAAAAGGAAGTATATATCTTGGGTAAACTCTTTTATTTCCAAAAAATACCATGTTGTTTTAGAGAAGTTATTTTAGCTTATTAGAAATCCTAAATGAAGAAATGCAAGTAAATGCATAAATGAAAAACAACTGATTACATCCAATGGGGGGCTGATACTTAACCCTAGTAAATGATGACTGGAAATGATCTAAAAATAGTAAAGCCCTACTGTGAGCCAAAGTAACAGTTGGTATCAGTTTTTTGTTGTTGTTCTTCCTTGTAATAGTAATGGTAAATGATAATTTAAAATTAGCTAAAATTGTTTGCTAATTGTTAGCAGAGATAAAAGGTTACAAGTCTTTAAATTTGTTGTTCTTTAAATATTGCAGCATTTTAAAAGTTGTAATTCAACATCAGAACTGAAAATTAAATGAATACTATGAGTATATGCTACTTAGGACTGTATCTGATTATAACCATGTTTTTCTACCCTTGAGTCATTTTTTATTCAGAATCATTTGACAAAACTTCTGAAATTAAAAATGGTCCCTCTAAACAATTGTCATTGCTTGTATCATCCTCATTAGTTCAGGAGACTATGTATAGGGAAAATGGTCACTGTGTAGTAAGGAATTTGGCCTTACACACCCAAAGAAAGCTCTGGCCTACATCTTTAGAAGGTCCCGTTATGAGTGCCTTTGTTATTCCTGATGGGCCCCTCAGACCACATCAGATAATTTGTGCTAACAGGATGACTCAGGGTGAGCCCCTGGAGCCTGATGGCATCCAGATCTCCAGGAAGGGGCACGGGTTAGACAGTGAGTTCAACCCGTGGGTAAAGAACCAATCAATCATGCCAAATATTATAATAAAGCTTCAATTAAAATCTGACAAGAAGCTTGGGTGAGCTTTTCTGGTTGGCAGTACTCTGTGTGGACTACCATACATTGTGGCCAGGAGTAGATAATACTGTCCATGACTCCACAGGAGTGGACAACTGGAAAGGATGACTTGAGTTTGGCCCTCCGATAGACTCAGCCCTCTGTGTCTTCCTTTCACTGGTTCTAATTTGTATTCTTTTTCTGTAATAAATGGATTTTAAGTGTAATAGCTTTCAGTGAGTTCTGTCTTTCTAGTGAATTATCAAACCTGAAGGTGTATTTGGGAAACCCCCGAATTTCAATCACCAAGACACTCTCTGCAATAGTATTATAGAATTTCAAATCTTTGGTATTTGAAGGTAATTATTTCCTCTTTGCTACTTTCTTTTCTGGAGTGTGTATGTAATCAGTCCTGCTTTGAAGGAATTCCCTTTTTGAGAACAGTAAGAAAAACCATTATGATTACTACTGCTGGTCACTCTGACTCTGTTGAACAGTAGTAGCACCTATCGTATAATACTTATATTATGAGGTGTATTTGCATAGCACTGGGATTTAAGGATTGTGATATATGATACTTTCAACAAAAGAAGTATTCCAGTACAAAAAAAATTAAAGGAGTGATTTTCATGAGAAGATTCCAAAGAAAAGTATACATTTTTAAAATGCTGAGATTCTTATATTAGTGATCTCTGAAAATACCTAAAGCATTCTATATAAGGCCACTTCCTCTATATTGCTTATCATTTGCTCTCTATGCATTGAATTGATAAACACAGAAATGCAATTATATCCAAATTATAAAGAAATTATATACCAATTACTATAATTACTTAATCATGAGGCTAGCAAAGAAATAATTTTCTTGGGGCCGGCCGAGTGGCGCGATGGTTAAGAACTCGCTTGGGATGCCAGAGGACCCCGGTTCGGATCCCACATATGAGGGCCAGTGACACTGCCCTCCACAGCTAAGATGCTGAACAACAGCTTGACCTGGAGCTGGGCTGCCATGAGTCGCCGGCGACGGCGTGGGCTGCAGCCTTGTGGCAGTGGGTTGCCATGGGCTACCGTGTGTAGCCAGCAGCCAGCGTGAGCGGCCAGCAGCCGCAGTGAGCGGCCGTCCAGAAGCCGGCGACTGATCTGCCTCGCCAGAGAAGAGCGCAATGAGGGTGCCAACTTGGGCCAGTGAAGCAACGTCCTCCACAACTAGATTGAAGAACAAAACGACAGCAACTTGTCTGTTCCCCTTTCCCCAATTCCCCAGCACTGTTCCTATCCCCCCAATTCCCCAATAAAAAAATCTTTAAAAAAAAAAAAAAAAGAAATAATTTTCTTAAAGCAAATTTTAGGCTGTTGTCATCATACATGTAGAGAAATTCTAAGTAGTTTAAATAAAACCCTGTCTTTCATGCTAAGAGCATAGGCTAGAAAAAAGATCACACATTATAAAAGTAACTAAAGAGGTAGGGAAAAGATCAGTGAGTCATTTTTGATATACACAGACTAATTCATGGGTTAAATCAGACACAGGTGAATAGGGAAATAAGGAACTATAGGAAGAAATTTACAGAGTTAATTATGAAAATAATCTATTTCCATAAATCTAGGTAATAACTAGATACCAAAAAATGACAAAGAAACTTATCAATTTAAAAAAAGTCATTTAACAAAAAACCATTTATACATTCCCTGGAATTACATCATAAAAAATTTAAATATACAAATTACATTCCCAAACTCAAAAGAATCTTTCTAAACAAATAAAATACAGACATATAGACAAATTCAGAATCTAAATCATTAAAATTTTTTTTTAAATCACAGTAAATTATATCTTGTGTAATAAGAAATAAAACAAAAAACTGAGAGTTACATACAATTGTTAACGTTTCAAAAGCTCAATGATGGAGCAATGGTGACATTATTTATTTAAATAAGTACTATTCACTAATGCCTGTGTAATATACCTACTTTAATATTCTGTTAGATAATGAATTTAAAGAGCAATGTTGAAACAACCAAAAAATTGAATTATAGTTATTCTTAAAAACATCCTAATTTTGCCCATGTGTCCTAAGTTGTGAATTACAGTAATATCCTCCAGGAAAAGTCAGGTATTTTGGTAAAGCAAGGCACATAGGACCAGATTTTGATAAAGGTGCTTTTTCTTTGGTCCTGTAATTACTTTAAATATGCTACATATTCTAGAGACTCTTAAGATGATTTTTGATATAGTATAAATAACTTTTAAAAACATTTTCTCATGTAAAGCATGCATCCACATGTAATTAAATATTATAACAATGACAGTGTAAATGAGCAATGCTAAACCCTGTTTTAAAAAAAGAACTCAGTTGAATGACTATACAATGACATTTTAAAAGTCCAATAATTTGATATGTAGGGAAAGTATCAATTCTTAAGAATAGTCAGCATTACACTAAGTCTACTGAGCACAAAGTCAATTAGTTTCCTTTCAGAATCTGTCTCCTTAGAACCTAGTTTAAATATCAAACTACCTTTCCTTTTATGAAATTTGGACATTCAATATAAATTGATGTAAATATTTAAATTTTGCATCTCTAAACTACCTACATTTTCCATCATAAAAATAGCCTACAACTTCTCTAAAATCTCTTATTACAGAATTGATAATATTACTGCGGTGAAACATTTCAAACTTTTATTCACAAATACAATATTCTCAATTTTTAATAGAATTATAATTGGCATTTTTCTCCCATGAATTAGCACATTTTTATAATGAACAAGTAGTTGAGAGATAAGTATAAGAATAATCAAGGAGTCATCATAAAAGATTAATACAATAAGGCTTTTGGAGGTCATCAAAACACACCACATACACAAGAAACTGGCATTATCTGCAATATATGACATGATCTAAGATACTGACTAATCTTCTCAAATATGATTATTTCTTTATGAATTAAAAGTTATAAACTATACAACCCAATTTCTAATATTATATTTTCAAACCTACTAGAAAAGCAAACTAAAAAATTGCTTTGAAAATATACTTTAGACTATTTTCTCCTTTCTCACTTACTCTTGATTCTAATTTTATAAACTTTGTTGGGAATCTTGAAAACTGTGTTATTTTGGACACTTGAAAATATTTTATTACTGTAACTACCGTGTCTGATATCCAATCATGCGCTTTTATCATTTTTTGAAGTGTTAAAATAGGGGCACTCTAAATCTGAATTAATTGTGAATGCATACTGAACTAATACATAAGTATCCAACCAGTACTTCTTGTGAGCTGAACATAAATCTTTATATTTAGTCTTGAATTCTGTGTATTTGCTGGATTTAGATTTCACTTAAGTGTAGGTAGTAAGATGTAAGTCTGAATGTTGTTACAGTCTAAAAACACCATGCTTGAAATGTGGTACAGTTATTAAACAAATACTCCGAAAGGTATTTTTACTTGGTTATTGAAACTCATTAAGTCAGGCTTCCAGAAAGTTTGTTTAGTGCCAATTTGGAATTACCAGCAAAATGATTTAAAATACTTTGTAATTTTAAACACATTTAAAGTCTGGATGAAATAAACTAGGCCTGTGTCCTGTAGAGATGAGGTTTGAATCAGCAAAGTAACACAGCCAATCCTAATTAGCCAAGAGTATTCAAGTTTGTAAAGTAGTGTTTTTGGGCCAAATTCTGTTCAACAAAATCCATTAGAACAATATAAAAATATTTAGTTTTTACAGTTTTTATAGCAGTAGAACAGACTTAAAAATAAAGTATGAATGAAAAAATAAAATACTTCTTATACTCAATAGGTAATTCTGTCTAGCCAAAAATTAAATTAAACCCACATTCCAATTTTAGAAAGTATTTTTGACCACCAATTCATCTTATCATTTCTGCTGTATTCTCTCTCTCTTGAACCAATTTATTAAATAACTCATGTAATTTGTAAATTTGTAAAACTTCAACTCCAGCGCTAATGAAAATGGGAAAGAAACCACTATTTTTAATCCAAGTGGTGGCTCCTTCCCAGCAACCTTTGCAGGGCCACAGAAAGGGAACCTGGAACTCAGCGACTTCTCCCAGACATGTGATCGCGGGGACAGTGGGTTTATGAGAGGCCTATGAAGTTCTGAACAGCCTTGCATTTATAGTTTTAGTGCCTTTTAAAATAAGGTAATATATTCGCTTCTCGGTCTTTTGGCTAAGATCAAGTGTAAAATAAGGTAATATCATGGCAACCTGGAATGTCTCCAAGAAAAGTCATTTTGGTCTCAATTCATTGACATCAGATGTCAATGAATTTTTTTTTTCATTGACTACTATTTTTTTTTTTTTGGTGGTTTTGTCAACAGTTATAGATTAAAGGAAGTTTTTACAGATCAATGAGTGAAATACTCATTTGAAAACATTCTACGTGTGCACAGTACATGCTTTGATAGTTCAAAATTCTCCAAATGGAGATATTAGACAATAATAATTTTATTTTAAATTATTAAAGGAGTATTTAATACCTTTAAATTACATATTAATTTAATGGAAATTAACACACACAGAAATTTAACTTAAAGTAATACTAAGGATTTATCTGGTTTACAGAAAAGATTTGGAAATAAGAGGTTAAGGACAAACTCCATTAGTGTAAAAGTCATTGGCTACTATCTAGCACAGGAGCCACGGGACTGCTTTTGGCAGTTTCGGAACACTTAAAAGATCTTAAAATGGAGATGGAGAAACAGATGTGTGTATTCTCTACATGAAATTTAAATATGAATTTTGTTCTCTGACAAATCAGACCCAAAATGTTACTTTATCAATTTTTATATAGTTGAACAAATAATATTTAGCAATTCTTTATTTAGTAATCTTTTGTATAAATATAAAAATCTCAGATAAGTGAAAATGTTTTTCAGATCAAACTTGTATTTCTTCATAGCTTTACAGGTAATAATAATTTTCAAACTTTGAATATTCCATGTGATTTGATCTATCTGTACAGAAAGAGTAAGATTAAAAAACATTTAATAAGATTAAATAGATCTAATTTGCAGAAATTGGTATCTGACATTTGTTGTGTGTGTGCTGTTATAAAGACTGCATAGGACATTTCTGCAGCAGTCAAAAAGGTAAAATCTTCTTAAACTCAGATTTCAAGTTTCCTCCAATAATTCTAATACCTAGAAATACTTTCAAGTTTTGATTTCTAAGATGCAATAGGTATTTTGTTACATATATACATATTTTATCCTTAAACTTTATATTTTCAAACCATTTGAACGATATGATCAGATTCAGCATGATACCTTCTTAGAATTTGTAGAAGTCTTCTGTGTAAGTTTAACATCGACATTCCTAGTGCACCATTGTGAAAACCAGTTAAAGACAGTATTCGACTATGCTTTAGTGGGATTTCCTGCAGGTTTGGGATCATAACCATATAGGAAAGTAGCTGCTATTACAAGGATGGCTCCAAGGAAAAAGACACTAAATGAATGAAGAAAAATGAAAAAGAGAAAATCAAATTAAAAGCAAAACAAGTTCCTTTTTCTTTACTATAAAAACAAGTATAATTTGGGAAAAAATATCCCAGTAATATGGCTAACAAATATTGTGTACTTCCAAGTATTCAGCTGAGTGTTTTACATGCATTTAGTTCTCATTTAGATCTCACAACAACCCTGTGAGGAAGAGTAGTATTGTTCTCATTTTTTAATATATGAGGAAACAGGTTTAGAGAGCTTAAGTAATTTGCTTAAAGTCCCCCAGCTCTAGTCTAAGTGGATGAGGGGATTCAAATCCAGGTATTTCTGACTCCAGAGCCTGCACTTGCATTCACTTCACTATACTGTCTCCCAAAGCAAAGATGTTTTAAATGTATTTCATCTTTATATACCTTTTGCCTGTAATACATTGAATAATAAGACCTCATTTTTTAAATATTTGGAAATATAAAGGGAAAATTGCATTCTTTTCAATCAAATGAAGTTCAGTTTAAAATCCAAGGTAGCAATAAGCAAAACTCAGGACCAATTTTTATAAGATGCTTTATGAAAGGAAATAAGGTTAAATACAGGGAGACTTGCTTTCTTCTTTATTTTTTAATCTATCCATAGATATTACCTTACTATAAACTGGAAATGAACTTAAACTGTAATACCAATCTTTGCTTTTAACATGTATATTCTTCAAAATGCCGTTAAAGGGACATGAATTAGTCTTTGCTTAAAAGTTTCTATTAACAGTTCTTCAAAGTTGCTACCCTACTTTAAAAACAACAGACAAGAGGGCCGACTGAGTGGCTCAGTTGGTTAAGAGCTCGCTCAAGAGTGTAAGCTCTGAGCAACAGCGGTTTGATTCCTGGCCTGAGCTAAACTGCCAATAGGGGGCAGGATGGCTCAGCTAAAAAAAAAAAAAAAGAAAAACAAACAAACAAACAAACAAAAACAACAGACAAAACATTTGTTCTGAAAAGGAAAGAGATCACTACTCCTTCTGACATAAAGGGCCCTTCCTAATTGGAAGCCTCATCTCCCACGCTCCACCTCTCCTAGCCTATAACTCAGCCTCTCCATTCAGTGAACACACAGCGCCTTTCAGGACAGTGTCCTTGGAAATGATATTCCCTTTGCCTGCAACACCTTTTCTTCCAAGAAAATTGCTTATTCCTAACATCTCAGGTCTAAGGTCTCTCAGATTCACTCCCCTCTGCAGAGTTACGCTGTACCACCTATCACTGTATTAAATAATACATTATTTATTTGCTCCCTTCTCAACCATGTACTTCTCCTCATTGTTGCCCCACACTTGAGGGAGCTCAATAATTATGTTATGATAAACATCTAGTGCTGACTTGATGCATATGGGGCATCTTTTTGTGCAACCTTCAAAAGCCTGGAATGCAGGTGCACATATAAGATGAAAATAACAACTTTCTGTAATGTATCTTGAAGAAAATTACTATCGTAAGAATATTTGGTATTATTCACACTTTGAATAAGCTCCTGACTGAAAACTTTGTTAGTCATTATGACCTTGTCTTGGCTTTCTGCAACTCTGGAAATGCACATAATCACATGCTCAGCCGAAAAGTTGTCTGATCCAGCTTTCTACCCACTCCAGGAATCCAATCTATCGTTATCTCTAACAGGATCTACTAGAATACCTAATAATGTCAGGAAACTCCTGCGTCTCAAGCCAGCTATTTTTAGATGGTTCTGAGAAAAAACATTTTTGTTAAAAAAATTAGGGAAAAAAACCTATCAGGATTTAATGATTATTTCAAGGATTTGAACCCCTCTTTCTAACAGAATTGTGTACATAACTTCCAGTGCTACCTGGATCATACTGTTAAAATACATGACACTACAGTCCTGGGTCTCCTGCGTCACCCACCATTCCTTGCGCCAGTCCTTTCCAAACCACTCTTCTTTCTGTCACCACTTAATATTTTTCATGAGCCACCTTCTCTACATAAACTCTTCACTTCAAGAATGTCAACCACTCTTCCAGCTTTAGCTATATAAATTCTGCATTTAAAATGTCATCATATGACTTATTTTATGACTTAAATAACTTTTTCATATGACTTTTATATCACCTTCCATATGACTTTGTATTTTGGGGAAAAAACCCATTCAGATCTATTGGGAAAATTGTGCCCATCCAAATATGTGTAAAAAACGTTCTAGTATAAGATTCTTTTGTGCATTTAGTTTAAAATTTTCTCTAAAAAGTAGTTAAATGGATCTTTTACTGTATTTCCATGATTCTTCAAAAGTTGTAATAGAACAAAATTTTTCAGATCAGATCTTATGAAGGACTCTTATTTTTCTATATACTTTTGGAGATTTAAAGAAATAGAAAAGAAGATATTACCTGGTTGGCACAAAATCTTGTAGCCAAAAATAGGATATCAGTGTTGATAATATTATGGATAAAGAGGTTGCAAATCCTTTTAAAATATTATCCGCATACTTTATAACAGCAGCTATTACAAGGCCTCCAAGTGCCTGCAGAAATTTTAAAGGTTATTTTAAAAAACAAACATATATAAAACTACTTTTCAAAACAATGTTATTACTCAATGAAGCTTTATGCTTTTGCCCTATAAATTTAATCCCATTATAGTACCGCATTTTGCCGTGTATAATGCACTTTTTGCCCAAATTTGTGAGGGAAAAATAAGGATGTGCATTATACATGGGTAGTACTAACATCATATCTATATAAATGTTTTTAATTATTTTATTTATGCTTATGAGTTAAAAGTGGAACTCTAGAAATCAATAATGATATCTGCATGCAAAATAATACTCTGGAATACGATAATTGGTTTTGTTGAACTTATGACAAACTTGCAACAACGAAGAGTTCTTGGCCTTCTATGATGCATAAATATCATAAATTTGTCACCACTACAAAAAATTTCTTGTACCTTGTATCTGTTCTTGTGTTTTGTAATTATTTGTTATATAAAATTTCTTGTACCATAATGTTAAAAAATAAATGCTAAAATTCCTTTATAATACAAAAAATAAGTACCTAAATGTAAACAAATAAAAAATTGAATTAAAACATTTAAATGAAAGATTTTTTTCTCCTGAAAGTTTGGGCCAAAAATGTGGGTGCATTATACATGGGAATGCATTATACACGGAAAAATATAGTAACTGATTTTTTATTAAACATCTGTTACAACCAATAGCTTTATAGGTTTTTGTTCAATGGCCCTCTTATTTCAAAAGGTATCTGATAAAGTAACTACCAGCTTAAGCTGCAGTTTGTTATAATCGACTTTGATGATATAATGAAGTTTGTTATAATGGAGTTTGACGATATCCTCATCCAATTTAGTAAATGAACATCACTTGTTCAGACAAATATGGTAAGATTGGTCACACTGCTTAGTGAAATATTTTTACTTTTGATTAAAAATAAACTGTAACTTGAAAGTTATTTTACTAACCTCTCAATAGTTTCCTAACTTCACTTTCTTTCTCTATTTTCTCCCCATTCTAATCCAACTTTCATTGCTGTCAGATTACTTTTCCTAAAGCAGTTTTACTGGTTCTCTTTAAGAATGTCGAACGAACTTTCTACCAAATAGCTCCCAAATTCCAATTGTGGTTACTTAAACAATGAGGTTTACCACACCTCACAGAGTTTTGTTTTCTGCCAAATCCTACTTACCAGCTCCCAAATCTGGGCCTTAACAACCTTCACTGCACCACTTCAGATGACAGGAACTTTATTAGAGAAAGTCACAAATCATGTCTGAGCTTACTACAAATTGATGTTTGAGTTCAAACACTTCTTCCCAATGTACTTATCCATCTAGTTACTCCTGTTGAATCCCTCATACCAACTGTACCAAACCTTTTTTATTTTACTCAAGTTTCAGCCACTTCTTAAGACAACAAGGCTTCCCTCTTTATTAGAAGGAAAGCCATTATAAACTCTAACTTCAAATTTTCTCTGAATTTTCACTTATTCTTGTCTCCTTTTCTCTTGTTTAAAGATAGAATTACCCTTCCTGCTTTCAAAACACAACTATCCTTTGCCACCTTCACCCACTTCCATAAAAAGCCTTGCTCCTCACAGCTTCAAATACCTCTACAGAAAGGCTTTGTGAAGGCAGTGACTTGTTTTTCCATCTTTATACCGACCGAGTACTCAGTAATTAGTTTTTTATTAATGAAATTGCTCAACCCTTGAACTATTTCAAGTAATAAACTGAGGTGACTTGACAGGAACATTCTACCATGTCACTACAATATGAGGCTATAAACTGTTCCAGATTTAAATATCTAGATCTGCTTCTTCAGTCTGAATGGGCTGACCTACACAATGATGACAACTGTAGAAAAATCAAAGGTATACTTGCCCTCAGCTTCAACTCTTTTACTCTTAAACTTGCATTTTCATTAAGTTAAATTTAAATACCAGAGTTAATTCATGTCCCCTTTTGAAAGTAAGTTTTCATTATGGCATTAAGACCAGTTCTACTTTAACTCCCCTGAATAAACTAGATGCAATGAGAGCACTAACAGGAGGGACTTTTTTACCCTCCAATCAGTGGCTACTTTGATTACATTAAAATAAAGTTTATTAGCATTAAATATAAAACTTTAAATGCTTTACCTGAAGAATAACAACTATCCATGTCAGTCGGTTATATCCCTGAAAAAATCCATTCTTTGATACCAATTCTCCATCATAAATGTATACACCCATTAATCCAAATATACTCCCAAAGAAACCTAAAAAAAGGGGGGGAATGTTTATGTCATATGTCATTTAGTTTCTCTGGAGAGATATTTGTCCATTGACATTCCAAATAATTTTATACTTTTCTTTTTGGGTAAAATTTGACTACTTTTAAAATGTCCTATTTGGCTATTTATATAAACTTAACAAAAGTATACTTAGTACTACATAGTGGCTGTAAAACAAAGACATGAGAACATAAAAAAAGAACAGAAATTATCGATCCTGGAGCATTAAAAAATATAATGCAGGGCCGGCCGAGTGGCGTGTTGGTTAGGAGTTGGCTTGGGACGCCAGCTCTGAGCAGCAGGGCTCCGGTTTGGATTCCAAATGAGGGCCAGTGACGCTGCGCCCTCTACAGCCAAGATGCTGAACAACAGCTCGACCTGGAGCTGGGGCTGCTGTGAGTCGCCAGCAACGGCACAGGCTGCAGTGGGGTTGGCTGGCAGCGGGTGTGAGTTTTTGTGAGCTGCCGTAAACGGCTGTCCAGTGGCCAGGGAGCAAATGCCTCACCCAGAAAGAGCAACATTATAACACCAACATGGGCCTGTGAAGCTACGTCCTCCACAACTAGACTGAAGAACAAAAGGACAGCAACTTGTCTGTTCCCCTTCCCGATTCTCCAACGCTGTTCCCCTCCCCCAATTCCCCAATAAAAATCTTAAAATAAAATACACATACATACACACACACACACACACACACACACACACGGCACATAAATTACATGACTACATGGCTATCCCGTTCAAATATTTATGAAAGGTTCACTTTGGGCATATTTCAATGTTTCTTCCTATTGCTAGATCTAGATTTTCATATATTCACATTCATAACTACAGACACAAAAGCTCAGCTATGTGGCATACCTGTTTTCCTTATTAAAAAGTTCTGAAAGTACAATACGTAATATCCAAAAAAAGCAGAGCTAAGAAATAGTCATTCGTAGGCAACATAAGAATCTGTCGTTACTGAAGTCTTCCTGTTTGAGAACGTCAGCTCAGTGAGAGCAGAAACTGTCTTATTCACTGCTGAATCCCTTACCTCTACCACAGAGCTTATCATGTGACTACTGGATATAAGAGATTCCAGGAGCAATCCTAAACTGGGAATGAGGTCATGGATGCCTACAGGGGCCACCTCTTAGGGGCAGTCTCTGGTAAGATATGCATTCAAAGAGGTCAAGGCAACACAATTTGTTTTTTATAAAGCTATAACTAATCAAAGTATTCCACAATGGAAAGGAACTGAAAGGGATGTGAAACGTTCTTTCCAAAATTATATTTATGCCAACCCTATAGTTTTAATATGCCTAATTTCCAACACAAAAGTATTACTGGCATAATACAAAGTTATAAAAATAGATACTTTCAAGGGTGTTATTTTTTTGTTATAAAAATAACACTCAAAAATTAAAGAAAATGTATACAGTACAGAAGGATGCATATATGTCAGTATGTACAGATCTACTGTAGTCTTTCTATCAGCTGCATAATATTCCATTGTATGAATATGAAATACGTATATAACACCATGTGCCACGAATTGTTCTAAGGGCTTTACGTATGTTAATGAACAACCTTATGAGAACTCGCTTGTCCATTTTGTAGATGAAGAAACAGAACCAGAGTGAAGTTAAACTTGCCCGAGCACACACAGCTGCTAAGTGACAGACTCAGGATTTGAATCCAGGCAGTATGGCTCTGGAGACCATGATCTTAACTACCACACTATTTGATCACATTAGTAATTTATATAACCAGTCTTCTAAATGTTTTCTATTTTTTACAATTGTAACCAATGCTGAAATGAATAATCTGAACATCTATCTTCGTGCTCTTGTGCAAATATATCTATTGGATAAATTCTTATCCAGATGGGGAATTTTTACAACAGTCTCTATTTAAAATTTTGTTAAAAATTCTCAAATTGAGATCCAGTAAGGTTATACCAGTCTATACTCCTAACAAACACAGGTTAATAAGAATTCCTGTTTCTATACTCTCTAACATTAGATCTTATCAATTTGCTAATCTTTGACAATTTGATGTTTTAAAAAATGCTGTACATTGTTTCAATTTATGTTTTTGTAACTTTTGTGTTATCTATAACCTATTTATGTATCCTTTTCAAAACTTTGAGTCATCTTACCATTATTAGATTGTGTTATAAGGTCAAACCAAAGAATAAGAAATTCATGTAGTACCATAGAATGATCAATTCTGACCTGTCTTTAATTTTTATCTTACAATTCAGTTAAATTTTGGGCAACTCACACAAACCTTGAATATTTCTTTTTTTTCTGATATTTGCATATTTATGTAAATAGCTAACATCAATGCTTACTATATGCAAGGCATTTTATTCTAAATACTTTACATGTATTATCTCCTTTAATCCTCATAGCAACATATGAAGTAATATAATTAAGTAATTTTATAGATGAGCAAATACGTAAGTTATTTGCAACATCTTCCAGCAAAAACATAGCAACCGAGGATAAAGTAATTAAGGCTCTAAATGCTGAAGACAGAAACAGGTTACAAACACCTTTATGAAACAGACCTAAAATTCCGTATTCTTGAATAAAAGGCGTTCATTTAAAACAAAATTTTCAAAAGGCTCAAATTTTGTGAGATTACCTGGATCAACAGCAGATTTTATGAAAGGACATTTATTTAAAGATATATAGAAATCTTTAAATATAACAATATAGTCACTTTTAAAATAATATTACAAAATACTTAAAACTTACCAAGTTGAATGTTTCTTATCCACACAGATTGTTTGGTTTCTTTTAAGATTTTCTCAAAGTAAACCCCAGCAAAGCCACTTGAAAAACATGCTGTGAGAACTGCCATGAGGCCTACAAACTGGGAGCCAGCTGAAAGTTCCTTAGAATCAAGCTCCTGGGAGTCTGAAGGCCACTGAGCAAAAAGAAAATAAAACTGAAGTTTAATTCCTGTAATATTTTGTAAGGTGCATATTTAGAACCCACTTGTACACCTATAGATAAAAATACAACCAATACCATTCTTGGGGATTGCAGAGGAGAGCTTTTGAAAGACAACCTTAGAATCTTTTTCCCCCAAACTGATATTACTGTTATAACTTATAATTTCAAAAAAAATAAAATACCCTAAAAAAGAAAAACAACGAGCAAATGTACAGATACACAAAAAAGCCTCTATAACCACCTGAACTTTAGAAATTCAGTGTGTGAAGTATGGAGCAGCAAAAATGAGTCTGGAGTTGACAGTGCATCATAGAAAGTCCTTACGGTATCATGCTCACCGTCCTGAGCTAAATTTAACCTGTACATCAGTGTTCCCGAAACCAGTTATTTGTTTATCGTCTTCATGTTTTTTGAAAAATTTATGTTCAACCTGACTATTAATTACTTGGTATTTTAAAATACCTCATTTAAAAAAATGTAATACCTACTCTAGCTTATCCTAAGCAATATCTATAAAAATACGGTTTTAAAATAAATACTAAAAATACTTATTCAAAAACAATAATAATAAAACAATAAAAAAAAGAAAAACTATTTATTCAAGGTAGATACACTACACTCTGGGGAGAGATGAGGAGCCGGCCTCTGAATGGCAGGAAACTGACATGACTGGATCTGTTTTTAGATCAATCACAATGGTGGTTAATGGAGGCTTTGTTTAGGGGGATGGGGAAGACTGAAGTGAAAAGAAATCAGTGAGGAGGCAATAGACCATGAGAAACAAAGAAGGCATGAACTGGGGAAGTGGTAGCAGACACAGAGAAGGATAGAATTAAGAAGTGTTAGAAAGCAAAATCAGTCAAGTCTTAGTGATTGATTTGATGTACAGGCAGAAGGAAGAGACTAGGACAATGCTCAGATTGAGTAAAAATGACTGAAAAAAAATAGAAACAAGAACAGGTTTAGTAGGGAAGAGGTAGTTTAGTTCTGGATATGCTTAATTTTTAAGGTTTATTGAACAACCAAGCAAAGATGTGCAACAGCCTTTTAGATATACAAATCTGAAACTACAAGTCATAAAGAGTTGCCTACACAGTCCAAGGAGCCGTCAGCATGAAACATTAATGAAAACCTCCAGAAAGGATGAAATTTCCAAAAATAAGGACATAATTTAAGAGAAATAACAAGCCTACCAGCAACCCTTTATCTAAAGGTAGTATCAAGGAAGACGATCCCAGGAAGGGAACCAATAAGGAATCATTAGAAAGATGTAAGAAGAACCAGGCAAGAACAGTATCAAGGAAGCTGACAGACAATAAGAAGGGGATGATTAATAATCTCAAATGCTCCAGATATCCAGTAAAATCAGCTTTTGTTTTACATGCAGTGTCATATTTCCCCAGCTAGACTGTTCTTTATGTCAGATCCTTTGATTTTTATATATTTCTTTGTATCAGTTACAGTCCAATGTAGTATCTTGCTCAAAGGAAGCCCTCAAAATATGTCAGTTGTGAGAATAAGCATGTTTAAATAAATAATAGTCCCATATTCTCCATACACAATAAGGTTTTGAAACTGATAAAAATGAAAGGTATACTTATCTTGAATAGTTACCTGTACAAAAGCAACTCCTGTCATCAAAATTACTAGGGAGAGCCACTGGTACACACCTAATTTTTTACTAAGCATAGACACAGAAAATAGTGCCGTCGTAAGAATTTTCAACTGATACGTGACCTGAAAAAGAAAAACAGCTAATATTAATGTTTGTTGGTTTGTTTCTTAAAAAGACAACTAGAAATGTATTTTAAGTACCTGATAAGTAGCTGCATCTAGATTTGACAATGCCACATAGAGCAAATTATTCTGAAGAGTATATATCCCCGATGGAATAGCAAGTTTAAGCGTTTCCATAGGTTTATTAAGAATTTCATCATGTAGTATTCGATTCAGTGATCTTAGACTACATTCTAGAAAAAACATGAAATGAGCAAAATCAGTAATTAAGTAACTTTGAGTAAATTACATAACCTCTGTCAAGGCCTCAGTTTTCTCACCTGTAAAAAAACGCAAATTGGGCAACATGTTAAGATACTTTAGGTCTAAAATATAGCTTTAATAATGCTAATTTTTAAATGTTAAATATTATAAGATAGCATATTAAGAAGAGCATTATCTTTATATTCTTTCATCAGGAAATACAATCATACTGAATAAATATATATATTTATGCACATATGCAATGTATTTATAGCCAAAAGCTCAAAGTGTTAGTTTGTCAACCAAGCATTCTTATATTGTAGAAACATTATAAAAATTTGTATTTTAAGCATTCCATTTTATCATCATCAATTCATACCAATTGATAATTGTGAAGACTTTAATTATAAAAAGAAGGTAAATCAGTTAAGGGGTGAGTCTGGTTGCAAACAGAAAACCCAACCGACCATGGCTCAACCCCATAGGGATTTGTTTCAAATACCATGAGTCCAGGTCCAAAGCTGCTACAGCTGCTCAGTGATGACATGAGGTACCTAAGCCCACACGTGTTTCTCTCTCTCTCTCTCTCTCTCTCTCTCTCTCTCTCTCTATATATATATATATATATATATATATATATATATATATATATATATATATA